ATAAAAATTAATGTTATATGGATTCAAAACTGAAAATGATGTACCAGTGGTGAAATTTCAATTCTTAAAGCAACATGCCCATGGTGACTTAAACTCCTTCAGAGAAAGAAAAAAGTAACACAATCATTTAGGTTCAGAGGATATCTAAAATCTCGGAGTTCTATAGACTACTACCCTGTCATAGAGAAGGAGAAACTTGACTCATTTGTAGGAAAATTCATGTCCCTTGAGAGCATAATGTAAAGTGAAGTACATTTGACACGAGTGAAAATATTGCATAGTATATCTCATTTGAAAAACTCAACATGTAAAAACATAATGAAAAGTAATGAAGTTTAAAAAGGAGATAAAGTTACTGTAATTCAGTAGGGACAGTTTATCAAAAAGTGTTGACTTAGGATAGCTGTCTTATATGTTTTATATGTCTTTTGTCCTATGAGTCTTGTGTCAATCTGTATACATAGCAATAAAATATATGAGGATTTATAAGATAAAGAAATGAATTAGAGAGGACTTCCGGGAGAACATGGCGGACAGATAACAGCAACTACCGGAGGCTCTCTGAAAGACTCGGCTCAGAAGCCAGGAATGGTGCGGACTATGGAGACATAAGCAGGTGGAGATATGCTCTGCTGACTCAGGAACAAACTGGGCTGAGAGAAACCAACTTGGAATGCAGTCCTGGTGCTAAAACAGGAACAGAAAAGCCTCGGTGTGGAGGCTGGACCCCGCGCCATTGTAAGCCGCGATTTGGGTTTCCCGCCGCGCGGCGGCTGGCTGCCTCTACAGTGGCTCGGCAAGGAGACGCGCAGAAGCTCTGAGAACGGCAATCTGCGAACGGCAGGGAGGCGTGCACTGACTTGTGGTGAGGTGAGTGATAGAAACTGACACTCTACCACAGTTTGACTCCAGCAGAGGACTTTCTGGGCCCGAGCAGTCCTGCGGGAGCAGGGCACGGTGGCGACTCCAGTCACACATCCCCCTCTCGGGCTGGATTGGTGAAAAGTGCCTGGCCTGCGTGACGCTGCCGGCGGACCTGGTAGGCTGTCCCAACCCAGATCCCAGAGCCTGACGGTGGCCGGGAGGGGAGACGCGTAGGCTGCTTGGTCCGTAACTCCCTGGTGCGCAGTGGTGAGCGGGAACACCTAACTGGCGCAATTCGATCAGGCTGTGGCTGACTGGGAGAGAAGCTGGGCCTCTTATATAAGCTTGCATATATAAGGAACAGAGAAGAAGAGGCAGCATGGGAAGAGGCAGCAACAAGAAAGGCTCCTCGGCCCCCAATTCTGAGAAACAGGCAATAGCAGACACTGCACCAATACACATAAGGCGCCATATAGAGAGCCTCATAGACCAATTCAGGAATGAAGTTATCAACGACCTGAAGCTAGAAGTATGCAGAATAGTTAGAGAAATGCTAAGTACCACCCAAGAAAAAACAGGTGGTGGGATGGAAGAACAGAAAAAAAGGGGAGAATTGTTTGATGGAGAAAACAGAGAAAGCATAGAATACGTAAAGCAGGTTCAAAGGGACTACCAAGATACTAAGAAGTCTATCGAAGACTGGCATAACAGCTTGAAAGAAACTAAGGACAGACTATCTGAACTGGAGGGCAGACTTGTAATATGGGAGAATGAAATGAAAAACTTCTTAAAAATAACAAAGAAACAAACAGCAATAATACAAAGACAAGAAGATGATAAGAGGAGCCATAACTTAAGGATTAAGAACATAAAAGAAGAAGTAGGGACACAAACAAGTGAACTACAAAAGCTACTCACAGAAATAATCCAGGAGAATTTTCCTAATTTAGCAAAAGGTAAAGATACTCAGATGTATGAGGCATACAGGACCCCAGCTACCTACAACCCAAACAGAGCTACACCCAGGCATATAATAATCAAAATTCCAGAAATTCAATACAAGAACAGAATATTAAAAGCTGTAAGAGACAAGAAACAGACCACTTACAAGGGAACACCCATCAGAATTACAGCAGATTTCTCTGCACAAACCATCAAATCACGAAGAGCGTGGGGGGAAATAATTCAAGCTTTGAAAGATAATAATCTCCAGCCAAGATTGAGATATCCTGCACAACTGTCCCTGGAAATTGATGGAAAAACGAGGTGCTTCCAGGATAAAGAGGAACTGGGGGAATTTGCAACCACCAATTCAACTCTACAGAGAGTATTGCAGGATATTCTAAAAAAAGAAAAATACAAAGAATCCAGAAATAATGGCAGAGAGGCCACAACGAATGGAGCAGAGAACAAAATGAAGAAGACAAACTGACAGCTACTGACAGAAAAAGAGCTCAACAGAAATGAGGCAGAGAAGATTGGATGATAGGAACAGCTATTTTGGAGAAAATGACATCTTAATAGGTAATACTGATTTAGTATCATCTTGTTTTGAAGTCTCATCTAGCTTTTGTCCTTCTGTCTCCAATGGTCTAAATAGGCTGTATCTTATTGGATTTTATTATGTACGATAGTATAAGCAAAAACCTTTTAAAGACAAGGAGATTATACAGAAACCATTGTTCATTTTCTGTTAGTCGATTCTAAATACTCTGTAATGCTATCATTCTCTTGAATGGTTTTACATTGTTTTGATATACTTAATGCTACAGTATATGAAGTTGTACTCAAGGATTTCAAAGAAAGAGACAATATGGTAACTACTGTTAGGTTAGGATTATCTGGTGGTGAAACACTACTCTGCTTAAATGGTTATGTTTTGATCTGCGCTGTTTCGTTGTTATGCCCTCTTTTATCTCAATCTCCACTCCATTATTTACTTTTTTATCTTTATCCTTTTAATTAAAGGAAAAAATAGCAGGATATATTATAGTAACCCACTTTGACTTTTTATTACCTTGATTTAAAGCCCTGTATTACTCTCACCATCTGGTTTTTAACTGATGTTCCCCTATTCTGTTTTGCTGGATAGTATCAGGTTCGAAAGTTTAGGCATCAGCTGTGAAGATAATGAGATTCATTATGACGCCCATTCTTGTTGACTTTTATCTACTTTTGAAGACCTACAATGTCTCCAATGTTTTGGTTTTGTCGGTTTTATTCTTTACTGTTTTGTTCAATTGTATTATAACTAACGATATAGGCAATTCTATTAGAGATAGCGGGAGGCATTATGGTAACCATTGTTGATCACCTTGTATTATGTTTTTACATTATCTATTATGTCCACCCTTTTGACTTGACCGATTCTGTTCTGTTATGTCTCATTTGGTTTTACTCTCTTCCAAAAAAGTAATAAGAACCGTGGGAGCAATGAAACCCAAAATGTGTAATAGTCATGGTACAAAAGAGAGGAAAAGAAAGTGCTCCAAACTATATAACTGCATGTATATTTAAATGTATAAGATAGAAAATGATATCACAGAGTTTTATTGGATCAATGAACAGAACTGTTTGCAGTATCATTGATGGAATGTCCACTTTACAAGCTTTAATTTTGTGACTTGAACAATTATTTCTAAGATGACAATATGTAATCCATTAACTAGTGATTTCCTACTGTTCATTTTTTTTCTGTAAATCTGTATAACTTGTACCCTTTCCCTGCTTTTTTTTTCTTTTCTCCTTAAATAAAATTTAAAAAAAAATTAAAAAAAAAAAAAGAAATGAATTAGAAGCTGGCACGATAAAAGGACAGTAGAGAAAGAGAATTATGTGTTATGTATGTGTACCAATTTCCTGCAGTGAATGGACTCATCATGTACTGAAAACATGTATATATTAATATTTTTTGGTACTGGGGATTAAACTCACAACCTAGTACTTACCAGGCAGGTGCTTGTGCTGATAAGCTAACTCCCCAAACCTATTAATATTTTTTTAAAAGACAGAGAAAGGCTACGCTATGTTACAGCCAGCTGACAATGTCATCACAAGAAGCTAAGTTTACAGACCATTTTCCTTTGGGAACTAAATTGGAATATTCTATTCCAAATTCACACATATTATAAAAAGGGAGTCCATGGCCAAATTCAGTCTATTAAATATAATTTAGTGCTCTATGTCTTTAAAAATTAGAAATGGTATCAATGAATGAAGAAAATATAATAACATTGAAATCCTTTCCATGATTTATAAAAAACAAGAGCAATACTTAATAAATATAATTAACACTATTAAATATAACTTAGTGTTTAGTCTTTAAAAATATAAGTGGTACCAATGAATGAAGAATATATAATAATGTTGAAATCCTTTCCATAATTTAAAAATAAAAACAACACTTAAAAATTAAGGATAGGAAGAAACTACATACATCCTATAAATGACATTTATATAACCCTAAAGTAAACTACACATTTTGCAGCTAAATTATTAAAGCAAATGTCACAGTGGTATATTCCTAATTACTCCTTCTACATGCTACATGTCCCTGTTGATACAATACACACAGGAAAACATAAAACTAATCAAGTATGGGAAATAATAAAATATCCAGGATAATTTTTATACAGTGTTGATTTGTAAATGTCAATCACACAGAAATTAATAATTGAATCAATGGTTGTGGAACATAAATTGAAAAGTAATCTATTGCTGTAGATGATCATTACCCATTCAAAGATGGTATTACACAAATTCACACTTAAGAAATATTAAAGTATTAGTGATATATTTATAAAATTTATAGGTGTTCTGAAAGGACAGAATAATCTCCTGTGCAAGTCCAAAAAATTTTCAAATAATAAAACTGACATAATTGAAGAAAGCATTTCGATGGATGGAAATTGTCAACAATGGAGGATGTTAGCATTTTAAAATTGTTCTATATAAATTATGTAATTGTTATACAAACTGCAACGTGATTTTTCAAGAAAGCCTCAAATTTTCATAGAGTGGAGGAACATATCTTACTGGACATGGTGCAAATATCACAATGCTAGAACATGGTAAATTATTTGGGTTTCTCAAGTGATTATTACTGAATAAATCTGTAAAGCATGAATTTACAGAGGTTAGCTATAGATAGGTATATACTTTATTGTTCTTTAAAAGTATAGAACTGTAAAGGGAAAGATTGATAGGGAAATACTGTCAATATAACATTCCTTTTCTCGGTGTCTAGAAAATCAAATGAAAATCTGGGCATGTTGATGTAGACCAGGAATACAGGCACTCCAGGAGGCTGAGACAAAAGTATCACAAACTTGAGTGCAGCCTGGACAACGCTGTGATTAAGATTATTTCAAAATGTAAAAAAATTGAAAGGAGAGTTGATGTAACAGGTAAAACTTTCATTGAAGATTCTTGTCTATAAATGGAAATAAATTTTTTAAATTAAAAACAAACATTAAACAGAAACAAAATAACACAATTTTTATTAGGAAGACCTGTGAAAGTCTATGAACAGTTGAGTGAGTGGGGAAAATTAATGGGGGGCTGGAGGTTTAGCTCAGTGGCATAAGCACCTGCCTTGCAAGCAGGCGGTCGTGAGTTCGATCCCTGGTACCGATAAAAATGAAAAAGACCAAAAAAAAAAAAAAAAGAAAATTAATGAACTTCAGCTAATGACAATTTGAATTTCTCAGTAGATATGGAGCACTGTATGAAGTGCCCTGATGACAAATATGCCATAATACAGCAAAACCAATGCCTCTGAAAGTCTGTGACTTTCCTGGCTCATGAAGACCTCATGGGGAAGATGCTGGCCAGCACAGCTCTGAGTCTCACTGCTCTCACAGCTGCTGTCCTTGGCCTTTTTGTAAAGCACAAAGACACTATCACTGCCAAGGTCAATAACAGGGCTCTCAGCTACAATTTGTTCATTTCCCTCGCCTTCTGATTCCTGTGTTCCTTACTGTTCATTAGCTGTCCCAACACAGTCACCTGCATCTTGCAGCACACCACATTCATAGTTGTCTTCACTGGCAGTTTTCACTGTCTCTGTGTCCTTGCCTATGCTGACTGTCTCCAGGAAGTAAGCCTTCTGACGGTTGCAGCTGGATCAGAGGGGTGTATCTGGCTGTGTCTCCACATGCACTGGCAGCCCACAAGAAGACTGATGTTCTTCATCTGCTGCATCTTGAACTTCCTGCCACAGTTTAACATTTTCTTGAGGAGAAAGAGTGGAAGTAAGAGTAAGATACAGTTCACTGTATGTGGTCATAAAACTAAATAACAAATGTAAACTCTGATGTATTTATAAGGGTCAGTAGTGAAGCCCACACAGTAGGATATATGGGAAAGGTCAGCAATAGAGAAAGCATCATAACTATGTAATAAGCCTTCAGTGTAAGCCACATTGCAAAGGGGAAGCAGTGGGTCTGGGGAATGCCTTGATGAAGGAGGTTGCGAGTGGCAGGATGTGATGACAGAAGGGAGGGATCACACGAAGGAGTGGAAAGGAGGATGAAGAATACAGCACAGGGAGGAGTGAGAAGATAGCACAGGGTACAAGGAGGAAGAAGATGGAAAAAAGGCAGAAGAATGACAAGGTGGCTGCAGATGACAGGGGCAACAAAATGGTGGCAGATGAGTGGAAGAATAAGGCAGTCAGAGGGAGGAGTAACAAGATGATGGAGGCTGTGTGGTATAAGTACTGTTGTGGGGTGCTGGAGGAGAAAACGGTGACAGTGGAGTAGAGATCAAAGACAGGGTATGATGAGAAAAACATGGAGGAAAAGATAGCAAAGAAGATGGAACTGGTATAGATTTAACAAAAGAGAACGGGAACATTCTTGTGAGTATGGTGGTGGAGTGAGAATGGAATGCAGCTCATCTATAGGGTCAGTGAGGTTTTTAGGTGTAGAGGATTTGGCAGTGTGAAGTGAAACAAGAGCACCTATGTTACCTCACGTGCCTAGATAATGGAGGGACACTCCTGGAGAGCAAAAAGGGCATGGATATAAGGAATCTCTGACCATCTGCAATTATGGCAGCAGAACTTCATTAATTCATGAAGGTTGGCAAAATTGAAGGTATCTGTCTCTGGCCAGTGGTCATTATCAAGATTTTAAAGTGGCCAAGCTATCTGCAAATAAAATATTAATTTTCTGCATTTTAAAGTGTCCCAGAGACATAATATTCCCAAGGATAAGATGGTACTAGTTCAACTAAAATGCAACCTTCCACTTCAGTACTATTTCATCCAAGGCAAAAAAGATGGAATAATCAGTTGTTGTTCTGTTTATGCCAAGACTGAGGATGCCTGAAGACCACAAACAACACTACAAGCCAGTGACGAAGAATCAGGAGCTAGCAGATGAAACAGGCAACTTCTCATCTCTAATAATTTGAAGCAATAGGATCTTATATCAGAATTAAGACACAAAAATCCAGCTACCACTGGAAGACATCTCTGAAAAACCATGATTTCCTAAGGATTCTCCAAACTATCCATAAAGAAATCTATCATAAACAGTTTACAAGCATCAATGCAGGAACCACATTGAAATTTAAAAAGACTAAAAAATTAGAAATCACAGAAGCCACATGCAAGTCCAGATATGCAGCTCCTCAAAAGCAACCAAGAGGTCAGTGAGGTGAAATGGTTCAGAACCCATTTGCCTGCACTCTCTGAAGTGTTATCAGTAGAAGTAACAAAATAGATGAATAAGGCTCTAGAAAAATGCAAATCAGAAACAATTTCTGAAATAACTTCACCGATGAGGGGCATAATGGAGGATACAATTAGTCACTCCAGTGAAAATACACATTAAAAACATAGAGGAACTCAGGAAAACGATGAAAACCATGGATGCCCAATGTAAGAAAGAAATTCATGGAACAGATTCAAATAGATGTCCAGGAGATTAAAATTTCCTTTGACAGGATACACAGCAGAATGAGCCAACATGAGGATAGAATATCAGGTCCAAAAGAATTTTTATTTGTAAAAGTGAAAAGCTAAATTTGTTTAAAATAGAAAGAGATCATGAAAAATTATTCCATCAGCTGCTGTACTATGCAAAAAATAACATAGTCAATAAAAAAGCAATTTAAAAGCAATTCACCAAAGTAACAGCAGAAAACATCCCAAACATGAAAAAAGTGACATACAGATAAATAAGACATATACAACTCCAATTATACAAAATCAAAACAAATCTACTGCAAGCCAGGCATGATGTTGCACACCTATAATCCCAACACTCTTCAATCTAAAACAGGAGAATCATAATGATTTCAAAGCCAGGCTAGGCTGCATAGTTAGTTTAAGGCCAGTTTATGCTACAAAGAAAGACCTTGTCTCAAAAAAAATAAAACAAGCAAATAAAATCTACCCAAAAGGTACAAAATAGTGAAGATTCCATAAATTTGACAGAACAGAACATTAAAAAGTGTTAAGAGAAAAACAAACCATTTAAACAGGAAGAACATCAGACTCACTGCAGACTTCCCAATAAAAATCCTTAAGTCAAGCAGTTTGAAGTGAAGTACTTCAGATCCAGAAAGAAGACAACCTCCAACGCAGATTGATATACCCTGAAAAACTATCTTTAAAGCTTGATGCAGAAATAATATACTTCTATGAAAAAGAACAACTGACGAAACTCATGACTACCAAAATAACTCTACAAAAATTATGAAAAATATTTTAGAAAGAGATAATGAAGACAACAACTTCAAGAACACTACAGATATGAAGCCATATGAAAGGCAATCAATTATAGAGAGGGAAATAAACAGGGAACCAACAACAGGAAAATAATATAACAAACATAAAGTCAAAACCTATCACTTAAAACTATAAATGTAAATGGCCTCAATTCACCATTCAGAAGAAGCAGACTGGCAGAATGGACTTTAAAAATTCAACAATATGCTACATACAAGAAACACATTTAACTCAAGAAGCAGTCAATATACTGAAATTCAAACAGACTAACAGACATGAAAATTCACATTGTAACAGAAGACCTCAATGTCTCACTGACAAAAATAGATACGTTAACTACTAAATAAGAAATCAACACTGAAGTATTAGAACTGATCCAAATGCCCTTAGTAGATAGATACCGAGTACCCTCCCCACAATGTCAGAATACATATCTTCTCAGATGTGCATGCTATATTATCCAAAATAAATCACTAACCCATACAACGTGCTAAAGTATAGACAAAGGAACTTATGCCCTGAATATTATCAGACAACAAAATCCAAAGTGCAATACCCATTCATGATAATAAACCTAAAGAAAACTGGACTAGATCATCTTTATCTAAATCTGACAAAAGCTATCTATGACAAACCAACAGCCATCATACTAAATGAAAAAAAGTGAAAGCTTTTATTCTAGAATCAGGAATGAGACAAGGATGCTCACTATTCCATTATCATGACTCCCATTCAATATAGTTCTGGAGACACTAGCCAGAGAAATTAGCCAAGATCAAGATTTAAAAGGAGTAAAGACAGGGAGGAAAAAATCACTTGTGCATGACACAGTCTTCTCTATAGATGACACTAAAATGTACACAAAAGCACACCTAGACTTAATAAGTAAACGGAGCATCATATCTGGATACAAAATTTATAGCATCCCTGTACACAAATAACAAACTCAGAGAAATTAGAGAAACAACACCTTTGTCAGTAAAATTCCCAAAGAAGAAATACTTAGGAATTAACCCAATGAAGGAAATAAAATAATTTGCATTAAAAACTATAGTACTTGGAAAAAGAAGATCAATGATGATATCAGAAAATGGAATCCCATCCCTTGTTCTGGGGTTAGAATAACCAATACAGTGAAAACATACATTCTCCCAAAATTGTTATACAGATTCAATGTAATCTTGAGGAAAATACCAACAACATACCTCACAGAATTAGAGAAAACTTTTCTAAAATTGATTTGGAAGCAGAAGAGACCTAGAATAGCAAAAAGCAATCCTAAGCAACAAAAATAAGGCAGGAAACATCACAATGCCTGACTTGGAATTGAACTGCAGAGCTACTGTGACAAAACCAGCATAGCACTTTGAAATAAATGAAACAAAACAACAACAAATAAAAACAGACCCTACAGTCAGTGGAACAGACTAGAGGATGCAAAAACAACTCTTACCATACTCAGCCATCTTATCTTTTACAAAAGATTCAAGCATCATCATTGAAAGAAACCTTCTTTAATAAATAATCAAGGAAGAGCTGGCTCCCCACATCCCAAAGACTAAACTAGACCCACATATCTCACCATTCATTAAACTGAAATTGAATGAATCAAATATCTAAATAATGAAAGGGAAACACTAAACCTCCTGTTAAGAGAAAAAAAAGTGGAGACACTAGCCAGAGAAATTAGCCAAGATCAAGATTTAAAGGAGTAAAGACAGGGAGGAAAAAATCAGATGTCAGATGCTTGAAGATGTAGGTATAGACAAAGAATTTAATAACAAACAAACAAAAATGAATCACACAGGGAATATCACAAAAAAATAAAACAACTAGAGTGTCATCATTTTAAAAAGCTTTTGCACAGCAAAAGATATCATCAAAAGAGTGAATAGACAACCATAGAGTGGAAAAATATTTTGCCATCTGTTCTTCACGCAAAAAATTAGTATTTAGAATTCACAAGGAACACAATAAAATCAGACCCTCCAAATTTAAAGATCTAACTTAAAAATGGACATCTGAAATGAATACATACTTTTCTGACAAAGAAGCATAAGCAGCAAATCAATAAATTAAAAAACTGTTTAACATTACTGGTCACTCAAGATGCAAATTAAAACAACACTGAAATTCCATCTCACTCCAGAAAGGAATCAGTCAAGTGCAAATGCTGGAGGGTCTGTGGGGAAAATTCAGTCCTTATCCCCTGTTGGTGGGAAAGTAGACTGGTGCAACCATTGGGGAAATCAATGTGGAAACTCCTCAAAAAAGTAGACCTCCACACTTCTTGGTATCTTCAGAAAACAATTAAAAGCATCATACCACAGTGACATGTGCACATTCATGTTTACACTTCAGTTTACAAATATTTAAATCTTGAAAATAATGCAAATGCTTGAAACCTGATAAATGGACACAGAAGGCATGGTTTTTTAAAAGAAATATAAAATGGATTACTATCCAGGCATAAAGAAGGGTAACCTTGAGCCATTTCTAGGTAAATGGATGTACACTGGGACCATATTACGAAGTGAAATTAATTGAACACATATATTCAAACAGTGTGTGTTTTATCTGGCATGAGAAACTGAAAGTGTAAATAAGAACAAAAGTAGTAGATATTGCAAAATAGGAAGAAAATATTTAAGACGAGCTAGAGTGGTGGGAAGGAAAAGAAAAAGGGCAAATACAAGCAGAAATGGAAACCAGGCTGTAAATAAGGAGGAGAAGAGCAACGGAAGGGAAGGGGGAGAATGGGGAAAAAAGAATCAGACTACATCATAAAAGGCAAAATTTCACATGATGAATAGTATCAGTATGCATATCTAACAAGTGACAATTAATTAATTAATTAATTAATTAAATGGAATAATTCCTGGCTGGGGTAGTGGCTCAGCAGTAGAGTATTTGCCTGCAGAAAGGCTTGGGTTCATGCTGAAGTACTGGGGAGGGAGATGAGGGGAAACAATAAATAATTCCTCAAAGTCACAACTAGGAAGAGAAAAAGCAGGACTTCAAACCAGGTACGTATGCCTCTACTTTCATCAAGATCACATGCTGGCAAGAGATCTTCCTAAAGAACAAGCGATATTTACTGACCTGATATACTATGAAAAATTAACTGAAATTCAGGGAAAATGAGGAACACGTGTCCTTGGCAGGACGCACATCTTCCAGATGAGACATTCCAGCCTGTTCAGTCTTTCAGCAGTTCCACGAGCCACACCAGTAACAAAACGCCATGGATCATTATTCTGATATCCAGTTGGATGCCAGATGGAGGCCCATCTGACTTCCTTAGCCTGTTCTTACTTTCTGATAATCCAGATCTTTTAGTCTGCACACAGCCTCTTCAATCACTTCTGCCCGGTGAAAGTTCTCTTCCTCTTTCTTAGTTCTCAATCCCAAAGACTGACCAGCACTGCCTACTTCATCTCCCTAAAGGCAGCTTGCTGGTCAGTCTATGTACCTTTGGAAAGGCACGGCACTGAGCCTGATCCAATCATGCTGTGCCTCCTAATCTCTGGTTTCCCTGATTGGAAATGATGAGCTGATATTCAGGACTCAGCTCACTACCATTCCCTGTTTGACGGAGTCCAACACATTGCAGCACATGCACACCACATGCATGTGCACATGCACACATGCTGCCTCAGACTGGACTTTCATCACATCATCTGGTACTTATTTTCTTTGTAGCTCTTAGCATTAACAGAACCTATTTTATTCACAGATTTTCCCCATAGAGGAAACAAAAAACTACATAAAAGGAGGAATCTTCTCCTGTATTACTCATTTCAGCTTCCAGATCTCAAGAAACGGGATTCAGCATCACAAGGGCATTAAATAAAATTCTGATAGACATATAAGTAGCCAGATAGACATAAGGTAGCACAGCCAGAGGCTTCTGCTCTTCACAGGTGTGGGTAGAGTGATGTCCTAACTTGAATATCCAGTCCAAGTGCCAGTGCTTAATGGCAATAACCTCGTGTGCTTTGTATTTCCATCAGCTTTTTCATAGGTGTAGAAAAGGAAACTCGAAAAAGTGACTTGATCAAGTTCGCACAACACATGGCTGAATCCAGGAGGTGAAAGGTCTCTGCTGCTCCCCACACCCTTCAGCTTCATATCTCCTGATTCTTCCTTTCTCCACAGTAAGGAAGGCAAAAAACAAAACAACAACAACAAAAGACTAAGCCATCAATCTTAGAATGATAGCATAAAACAATGCAAAACATAAGTAATCATTTCCCTTCCCTGTGAGCCTAACTAGGGATCCCATTTCCAGAAGCAGCACAGGTCAACCACAGTTTTACCACAGGGGAGATCAAATCCAACAGCAACAGATTCATTCAGCACTGCTAAGGACATCACCTGTCATCTCCTCAGACCTTCTCAGGGGTTCCGTGGGGATGAACGAACAAGATCTCCAGCCTAAATTTTCCAATGAACTCTGCACCACAGCTGTGGGGCACATGCTCCAGAATGGCAATCATTAATCACCTTAGGAAAGTGCTGGGCACACATTCCCCAATTTATTGTAAGTATTTTACTTTCAACAAAAACTCATTTGCAAGTTCAAATTTTCATTGTGTACCAAAAATGATATTCTCTAAAGAGCATAAACTAAATATCATCCTCAAAATATTTATATGAAAAGTGATGCCACCTTCAGATAGTTATAGGCACTTTCTCCATGATAAAATATTAATAATATGATGTTACTATACAAAACATACTTCACTTCAGAAACACAAACCTAAAGAAAACAATTTTTAAAAACCTTTTTAAATGCTGAATGTGAAACAGTTATCTAAAATTTCTTACTTTGATGGAAAGTCAACAATTTAAAGTGCAAACTATTAAAAAGAAGAACAAGAAATAAAGGATATAACTGCATATATATTTAAGTGTATTCTTATACACTAAAGACCATATTACTGAGTTTTGTTGGATCATTGGACAAAACTGCATTGTCACTGTTTGAAAGTCCACTTTATATGCTTTAATTTTGTAACTTGAACAACTATTTCTAAGATGACAATATATAATCTATTAACTAGTGATTTCCTACTGTTTATTCTCTCTGAAATTCTGTATAACTTGTACCATTTTTCTGGGTTTTTTTTCTTTTTCTCCTTAAATAAAATTTTAAAAAAAGAAGAAGAACAAGAATAAAATCACCTTTAGTTCATGTTTCAATAGTCACTGTCCCATCTTTGTCACTGGTCCAAACTTTTGTGTCTCTGAAATAAGCACAAAGCAGCGTCAAGACGTGACTTTGAGACTCTGAAGTGAATGTGACTAACACCTCATTATTTGGTCATGCTTGTCTTCAATCTAGTTGACTTTTGCATTCCAAGATTCTTTAATGCTTGCTTGCAGTTTAAGAATCTGGTGCAAAAGGAATAAAACATGAAAGTTTTAAGGCATCATGTGCTTTTCACATCTTATCCCCAGAAATTCATTTGATGCTTCTAATTATATTCCACTCTTCAGTAAATTCTGATATACTTACTTTAGTCTTTAGTGTGCATACACAGTCAATAAAGTAAATACTATATATGCACTGCATAGAAATATAAACATACAGTTACCGAATGACACAGCCATATATTTTAGGTTAATTTAAAGGAAGTATTTCTTTATGTTACTCATAAATACCATCCAAAGTCCTTTCATAACTTTGTTAATAAGAACAAGAGTGATGATGAATCTCACATGAAAACGACCAAAATGTTTCTCACAGTTTCTGCCTCAGAGTTAAGGAGTGGAATTTGAAGACGTGAAACTTTTATGAATTTAGTCTTCAAGGATGACCATGATTTTTACTAAAATTGGTCATGTCTTGTAATACATCTATCATTCTGAAATGTTTAAAGAAAGACCAGAACTCCTTAAGAGAATATTAACTCTGAGTAGAAATGCCAAAGCTACAAATAATCCCCAATACATAAGGTGCCATACTAAGCGTTTAGCCAGAGAATGGTAAAGCAGAACTGACTGCATGCAGTCACTGACACAGTTTGGACGGAGCCTGGTGTTTCACCTTCTTGTGTGTCTACCCTTTCTCTTTAGTGTCTATCTGCTCTGCATCTTTATGGCCTTTGGTACCATGCAGCTCCTGAAAATGATCCTGAAATAAAATGAATGCGAGTTTACACATTAAAGCAGGAAACGGGAAAAAAGCTACATTGCCTAAAGTTGCATAAAAACTTCTTATGGAATTTGAAAAGTTCTTTCCTAAGCTGTACAGAATAAAAAAGAAGATTTGAAGTCATTCTTGGGGGAAAAAAGTCATCACAGAAGTCTAGATCTATCATACAGTTAAATGTATTATTAGTGGCACCAGGCCTTAGGGGTAGGGTTGAAATTCCCAGTACCAAAAAAGAAAATAGATTTTAAAAAAGATGAAAATCATTAAAAACATTTCATTAGTATTATTACCCATATCTATTTTTTTAACTTGCAAATTATACTCTTCCATAATCTTGATGTTACTCAGTTATAGGAAGTTGTTCTGTTGGTGTTTCTAGTATGCTATTATAAAATAACAAGAAAAGTATCATTTTAACCTACCAATGAGAGACAGACCTTCTTGCAAATGTCCAAATATCAGTAGAATTCTAAAATCTGGAAATGCCTTACATATGTATTTGAATCCTCTTAACTGATACAATTTAAAAAAGAGAAAAAGCAAGGACAGTAAGGCTTTCTAGTTAGACAATGAACTTATGTTCTGTCCTATTCAGTCAGAATCTCTGCTCTTAACTATGTTGTCAGAAGAAATCTTAGTTTAGATGCCTTCAAAAATTCCATGAAGCAAAATGCTGTATGTGTATTACTGCCTAACTGCAAAGATATAAGCAAAATTCATAGAAGCAGAATCATTATTGTCACTCACTGACCAAGAGTACTTACTAAGCAAGTGCCAGGAGCTGGGTTCAATCCTCAGTAGTCCACAACAATCATAAATGTATACATGAATTATTTTTAAAGAGCTCCTATATCAGTCAAAATAGAACAAAATGAAACTATTCACACTGAGGTTTAAAGACAAAACTGAATAGCTTTGTCTTTGTAAACTTTCAAGAAGTATAAGAGAAAGAAAAGAGCCAAACTTCTTAAAATGCCTATTTTGGGACATTCTTGCATTTTAACCTTTTACGAAATGACGGCTTTTCCTTTTGTTCTTTGTGGTTGCTTCCCCTCAGCCCCTTCCTGTCTGTACATCCAGCTCCTCAGCTTGTCTCTTGGGGGCCCTCACTCTGTTTTATAGAAGGAAGTGTTGCTTAATTAGGATGAAATAAAAGCCAATTGAGATCTTTAAGCTAAATTTGTTGTATGTAATTTTGTCTTTGACAGAGGGAAAACAGCAGAAGGTCATGTGTCACATAAATCTTTTCTGTCCTCAGGAAACACAGCTAGTTGGCTGTTCTAGGCAAAGACTCTGCCAGGGTCATATGGCAACACAGTGATGTGTTTCGCCATTTCTCTCAGCAAAGAGAGAAGCAAAGAGTTTACTCACCATTCTCGCTGTGATCTCCTGTTAGGCAGCTCCTTTCTCTATGATTGTGGAGGCTGCTGAGGTGCATGGATGAGAGAATAGTGTACGTCAAGAGGAGAGGTGTCATCAAAGTGTTCAACCCATGCAATATGGGAGAACACTCAGAAGTGGGTCATGCTGCTTGTGTAGTTCAACTGCTCCACATGAGCTTTGGAGCCAACAAGAGAGCCAGTGAGTGTTTCCAGTAGAGGTTGCACAGCAAGCTCCTAGGTCAACAAGGTCCCGTAAGACAGGATACTCCAGGCAAAATGAAAATGTGTTGCTCAGGCAATAAACAGTAATAATTCCAAAGTGCATGAAAACTGGTATCTCCATTTAGGGATGGCAGGATAGAATATTTGACACAAGCTTGCGAATTTTAGGAATAAAAACAGAAAACCTGAGTTCGATCCCCAGTACCGGTAAAAACGAAAAAGACAAAAAAAAAAAAGAAAACCCCAGATGGTAACTCACCTGTGATCAGTGAGGAAGGTCACTGTTGCCCAAAGACTAGCATCAGCAAGTAAACAGTCTCAGAGTAAGCATGGTTCTTAGGCAGGGGAGCTCCAACTGGGAGAGATTTTTATAGAAGTTAATGCTCTGCCATCCAAGTCACAGCACCTTTATGAAAGAGTTTTGGTGCAATAAAAGGGAGAATATAAAGTAAAAATAGCCTTTATCCCAAGGATGTGGAGAGGAGTCCATAACCATAGATGGCCTGGATCCCTCTGACCAGAACATGGGGAATGGGGTATATATATAACCTCTGACCCGGGGTGGCACTTAGGGTAGACATTGATGACATGTGAGGAACTGAGTGGAGTTTTCTTCACATGCAAACAGGAAGGGGAGTTGCAATTAAGGCTGAGGAAAAAGCAGAAAGTGGTAGGTGTTCCCACTATGGCCTTCTGCCACATTAGACCACTGCCATAACTGTACAGTAATTTATACTAGGGAAAAAAAACCTTTCAAAAAGAATCAGCAGAGACTGGAGACATGAAAAGCACCCTTAAGCAACATAAGCAAAGTCCACATAGTTCCTTCAAGGATAAACATCAGGCATTGATATTCTAATAGGTACCTATCACCTTAAAGAAGCCATGAAGAGCTGCTGACCCAACTCCCTACAAGAAAAGCTCTGTTCTGTTTCACATCCATTTCCTATATGACTTGCTTCTCCCATTGGATCCCAATTTAATCAATATTACTTGAGCGATTATGCTTATAATCTTATTATTTATAGTTTTGTCCCACTTCATGGCCACCTTGTGATTTCCCATTTTTCCTCACCTTGGAACCACCTCACCTCATGGTTTTGCTCTATACAAATTCCTAGAAAAGGCAGGTTCTTTTGCAAACCAATCAGGACTCTTTCTGTTTCTTTCCCTAATAAATATATTCTGCTCTTAACCTGCTGTTTCTAAAATTCAGTTTTCAAATTTTAGAGAACACAAACTTGTACTAGTCATCTAGCAGGCTAGGAGTTTCTTTCACCAATATCACTAAGTCCCAAGGCCATAGAAGGAGGATCCTCACCTACAGAGGAGAAACATGGTCCAGCACCCTTCTAGCTGGAGGACATAAAGCACTATGGGCTTACAGGCCCCTCATTTAGGAAGGGACCTAGATCCCCCTTTGACTTCCAAGTAGGGCTTCCAAAGAAACTCAATCTGCTGGCATTTATTAAGGGGAGATCAGCACCCCTTTTCTTTGAACACAGAACTCATCTTATTTTCCACAAAAACTGTGGTTTTGGCAGAGATGTCCAGCATGGGATACTTAGCTCCTGCCAGCTCTTCTCTCTGCATGCCAAATGAGTGAGAGGGACTTCAAGACCCAAGACTACCATGAAAATGTATTCTACACCTCACTATTTTGAATTACTCTTTTTCCTAATTTTTAAAAATAGGTAGTGAGACTTCTGCATATAACTTCAGGCTAGATCATCACATAAACCTTTTTTCCCCTGAAATTTATTTTTATAAATACATGCTAACTGTAAGTTTCCAATCAGACCCGACTCTCCCAGCTCCCAATCTGCTTGCCAGCAGAGGAATTACTCTCATCAAAGAACTCAGTTCAGCACCAGCTGTCAAAAGCAAGCATAGGCTGTCTTTAAAAAGACAAGGTAGGACTCAAAATTTTGCAGGTCCCAGGATGTCTGGAGCCACCCAAAAATTTATACCAGATGCTTCAAGAACTTTGTCGCCTGAGATGCAAGACAGCCAGAAAACTTTAGTCACAGGCCATTATTAAATCTTCCCACCTAATGTCCCTTGCCTTATTTCCATCCCAATAAAAAGGGCTTACTTCTCTTTGTTTCCTACAGAAGTCTTCTCAATTTGTCTTTATAAACTGTGTCTTCACAATCCTGGTAAAGGGAGAAGAAAGTAAAAGAATATATTAGAAGGGGAAAGGGAACAGACAGCCAGCACAGACAAGGAGACCAAGCCTTTGCTTGCCAGCTGCCACCATCAGAAGGCTTACTTGTTGCTGACAGCCAGGGTAAGCAAGGAGATGCAGCCAGATAAACCCTATGCACCCACAGGCCACCACTGGCGACCCTTTCTTCCTTTGGGCAGTGAGTGCCCACTGAAAGAATCAGAGAAACACACCCTTGCATGCCTGCCACCACTGGGGGAGTCCCATTGTAGACATGCAGGTGAAGAGAACCACCACTATGCACCCCTGGCCATCGGGGAAATCCCAGTGTAGCTTCATGGGTCTGGAGAAGCCCACCTACCTGTTACCTCCCTGGGAACAAGGGTTTGGAGAAACCCAGATGCCTGTCCCATTCCCTTACACTGTAGAAGGGCAGCCAATGAGGAAAGTGCCTGAAACAACACAACTGTCGGGAGGAACCCACAAGAATGTGAAGATGAAGGAGCAAAAGTTAATCTCATGAATGCACATTTCTCAGATGAAGATATACAAATAGCAAACAAATACATGAAGAAATGCTTACCATCACTGGTCATTTGAGAAATGCAAATTAAAACAGCATTGAGATTTCATCTCACTCCAGAAAGAATGGCTTCCATCAAGAAATCAACTGATAACAAATGTTGATGAGACTGTAGGGAAAGGGGACACTGCTCCATTGTTGGTGGAGTTTAGACTGATGCAACCACTGTGGAAATCAATATGGAGATTTCTTAGAAGACTAGGATTGGAAGTTCCATCCAACCCAGCTATTTCCCTCCTGGGTATTTTCTCAGAAAACCTGAAAAGGTCATGTCACAGTGATATATGTGCACCTATGTTCATAGCAGCACAATTCGTAATAGCTAAATCTTGGAGACAACCAAAATGTCTATCAACTGCAGAGTGGATAAAAAAAGATGTGGTATTTTTATACAATGGAATATTACTCAGCTATAAAAAGGATGATCTTGAGGCCTTCATATAGAAATGAAGGCAACTTGAGACTATCCTCATAAGTGGAATAAATAAGAATCATATTTATAAATATCAAATTGTGTCTCTAGTGTAAAAATTAATAATAACATTAGGAGTAATAATATCCAAAATGTGTAATTGCTATTGTAAAAAAGAGAGGAAAAGAAAGTGCTCTAAAGGATATAACTGCATGTATGTTTAAGTGTGTAAGATAGATGACCATATTGCTAAGTTTTTGTTGGATCATTGAGCAGAATTATTTGCAGTCTCACTGTCTGAATGTCCACTTTGTATGCTTTAATTTTGTAACTTGAACAACTATTTCTAAGATGACAGTATGTAATTTATCAACTAGTGATTTCTTAGTTTTTTTTGGAATTCTGTATTGTTGCTACCTTTTTTCTGTTTTATTTCTTTTTCTCTTTAAATAAAATTTTTTAAAAAGTTAATCTCAGACCTCCAGCCCACACAGAATAAGTCTGGGAGATATAGTCATAAAAAAAATGGAAGTCATACACCTGAAATCTCTGAAAGAATAACAAATGAGGTAAAGAAACAATTACATGAGAATGTAAAAGTAATCAGATTAGAAATAACGCCTCAAGTTAAAGAATAAATCACAGGCTAGGGATTTATTTCAGTATTATAAGCACCTGCCTGGCAAGTGCAAAGTCATGAATTTGATGCACAATACCCCCCCAAAATAAATAAAAACAACCGAAGATTAAATCACAAGCATAATGAAAGTATTGCTGCAAATATCTAAAGAAGACACAGATTTTTTTTAAAAAGAGGAGCATAGGAAAATGAAACCTTGAATGAATAATATAAGAACAATGCATGAAACAGATTCAAAGAGATATCCAGGAAATTAAAAAGTCAATTGAAAGCTGGCAAAACCACTTGAAAGAGACTGAAGATAGACTTTCAGACCTTGAAGATAGGATCACAACTAGCAGTCATGAAAGGAAAGATCTCTTAAAAATAACAAGAAACCAGCAAATAATAAATCAATGGCTGCAAAATGATGAAAGATAATTAATTTAACAGTGAGAGGTATCAGCAAAGAAGCAGGGGTCAGCACAAATGAAATAAAAAAGGTATTTTCAGAAGTAATAGCAGAAAACTTCCCAAACATGGGAAGATGATCTGGCATACAGGTAAGTAAGGCATACAGAAGTACAACTAGCCCTAACCAAAGTAAATCTACACCCAGACATCCAATAATCAAGATCCCAGAAATTCAGGACTAGAAAAGAATATTAAAATCTGTGAGAGAGAAAAAAACAATTCACCTATAAAGGAAAAATCATTCAGAATGACTTCTCAGCACAAAGCATCAGTCAAAAAACAAGTTTGAATGCTTCAAATCCTGACAGAAAACAACTTCCAACCAAGATTGATGTATTCTGCAAAACTATTTTTCAAAATTGGTGGAAAGATAAGATTCTTCCATGACAAAGAATAACTAAAATAATTCATGACCACCAACCAACCCTATGGGGAATGCTGAAGGATATTCTAGAGAGAGATAAAGATGACCATGGTTCCAGAAACAGCAGCAGAGAAGGATCATCAAACAGGACAGGCAATTGAATGAAGAGGAAAAGTAGAGAGCCAACAGCAGGAAGATAGCATGACAGAGATGAACCAGTGCATGCCAATTGTAATCATTAATATAGATGGCCTCAATTCACCAATAAAAAGAAACACAGGGAGAGTGAATCAAGAAACAAAATGTATCAGTATATTGTATACAAGAAACACATTTAACTTGAAATTCACAGACTGAAAGTCAACAGAAAGCAATTTTCCTACATGACATGAGACCAGAAAACAGTAATGCATAACTTGCCCATCACCACAGAATGGGTAAGAAAAATATGGTATTTTCATACAATGGAAAGCTATCCAACTATAAAGTAGCATAATCTCAAGGCTCTTATAGACTACAGGATGAAACTGGAGGTCAAATTCATGAGAAGTTTGAACTCATAGAGGTGAACACCAAGTTAGTTCCCAAAGAGTTAGTGGGACCCAAAAAGTACAACAGATATAAAAATGATAGGGGAGGAAACACCTAGGAGAGCAAGGTAGTAACCACTGTTAATTTCTTATTATTTTGTCTTAAATTCTTATATTTTCAGAATTTTGTTAGGTCTGGTTTTATTCTATCTTGTATTGCTAGATTTCACTGTGTCTGCTATTTTAATGACAATGAGATGTATTCTATTAACCATTGTTGGTTTCCTATTATCTCATTTTGAAGTAACGCTTCATTCTTTGGCTTAATTGGTTTCATTCTGTTTTGTTTTGTTTGACTTTATTATGTGAAATGGTATAGACAGCTATTTTGAAGAAAGTGAAACATTATGGTAGCCATTGTTGATTTCCTGTCATCTTGAAGTCCTATATTGCTTTCATTTTTGTTTTGATTGGTTTGTTTTGATTTTATTATGTAATAGTATGGACTGAACAAAACATGAGACAATATAGTAACCATTGTTCATTTCCTGTTATCTTTTGATTTTATGTGTGAACGTCTGTACAGCTATTTTGAAGAAAACAAGAGACACTATGGCAGCTATGGTTGATTTCTTGCTGTCTTGTTTTGAAATCATGTGTTGCTTACAGTATTGTTCTGTTCTGATTTACTTTGTCCTATTTTGTTTTATTTTATCCTAAAATAAAAAAATTTTCAAAGGTTAAATGGAACATATGGAAGAAAATAAAAAGTGAGGCCCCCACAAAAGTGAGAAAGTGAAAATAAGAAATAAATCAATTTTACCATTTGTTAGATATGGGGAAAATACATTCTAAAGAATTACAAATGTATATGGAACGGTTGGTTGTGTGCTTCAGTCTAGTATTTACATTTCTGTGGGGGATTTGGATTAGACAGAGTCTTAGTAATCATAAGCTTCTTGAGATAACCACAGTGAAATTGGCTTCAAGCACTATTTTAAAATCAAGTCTGGAGCAGGAAAAAGATGGTGGAATGACAGCCACCCTGAAAACTCTACCTGAGCTACAAACTTAACTATTTCCACCTTTTTAGCTGTGTTGCTGATTAAAACTTTCACCTCTAAGGGAGTAGAGCTGTCTTCTCCATCTCCCCTGAAACTGACATTAAAAGAAGTCAGACGGACAGGGGAGTACATGGAGGGTGTTCGACATGTCTACTGGTTACTAAACTTAGAATCCCCAATAGTCCAAGACAAATTTTAATTACTCAGGTCATCAGTTCACAGCCTAAAGGAAAGAAAAGAAGTGAAGCTATTGTTTTCATTGGGAGGAGGGGGCACTTTGCCAAGTTGTGCTGCTGCACCTGTAGGGGCAACACAACCACTAACTATCCCTTCAGCAAAACTTTCAACTATCTGTCCAAAGTGTAGATGATGATATCATTAGGTCACTCGATGTAAATTCAAAACTGATGTGCAAAGCCTACATGTTCCATAAACACTTCCAGCAGGGCCTGCAACAGCCCTGCCAAAGGGTAGGGGTGCTACAGCTCGGACAGCATCCCTGAGATGACAGATTCCTGATCCTGATTTGTAGATTGCTGACTATTTTGTTCACAAAACACTCTTGTGAAAGACAATTTCAAATAATCAATACAACTAATCTGTAAAACTTCTAAAAATTCAGTAATTGGCCTTCACAAGCTAGTGATAGGCTGGCTCCAATAGCCAGATAGCCACGGCCCAGGGAGCACATTGGCACTGCTGCTCAGGCTGCTGGCACAGGTAGGAACAGGCACAACAATGGGGTGGGGGACAAGGCTGGGCTGAGCTGCCTGGAACCTGCTCGCTGCACTGAGCCCCACCCATAACTCAGCATGTTGGGGCAGAAGGGCACTGGCAACAGGGAGGCCCGGGAGAGCTGGACCCGCCAAGTCCCTTTGCAGCCTTGGAGTCACTTTTGTGCACTACCACTATGGCCCTCATGGGGGAGCTCTGGGTGCAGATGCCTCAATCTCCCAGTGTGCTGGGAATATAGGAATGTACCACGACGCCCAGATCCTAAATTTTCAAGTGCAAAATTATAAACATTAAGAAGAAAATCTACAAATCCTATATCCTCTACAAAAGTATTGCGCATAATACATTCCAAAAATGTTTGTAATCCAAATCACTTGTTTATCAAAGTGAACTTCCCCATAAGAAATAATGGAAACTCAGATGATGCATTCCATGACCCAAAAATATTCATATAAAAATTATTACAATACTAAAGAAAACATGTAAAAACAAATTAACCTGAACTTACCTTTGAAAGCCTTTGTGGGTGTTGTGAGGGAGACAAGAGAGGAGAGTTTTTGTGTAGGACAAACTTTCACTAGCCAAATAACTACTATCTATTGGGCTCAATGGAATCTCTTGTTTTTTGTGCAACTTTAACAAGGAACCCATCCAATGATACTTGCTTTTACTTCCTTCTGAGGGTTGTGTGGAAATGTGACATTGTATTGGTGTTAAACAGATTCATCATGCACACTGCTATGGTTTTATTTGGGTGACACTTTTCTAAAAATTTTTGCACTGTTTCCCACATTTTACTCATCTCCTTAATCCCATTTGAAGTGAGAGATTGCTCCACCTTTTTTTCCTCCTCCTCTGCAGAGTTTTCCTTCAAAACCTCTCACTATTGGGAGACAATTACCCACAATTCTACAGAGAGAAGAGAGGGACTCAGAGACAGAGACAAAGGGAGAGACAGAGACAGACAGGGAAAGAGAAAGTGAGAGAGAAAACCATTGATTGATTTGTGATCATGTGATGTTCAGCATCATGCAGTACTAGTACTACAAGATAATACTCATTTATCAAGTTAAAATGTATTAGAAATGTTTGTTATATGAACAAGTTACTTGCAATTCAAGGTTTTACTATGTATGTTGAGTTCTTTGGCTATAAGCTAAGAAACTACAGGAGCTGGATCGAGCCTGGACACATCCTTTCCTACGACACCAGAGTGGCAGCCTCTGGACACCTCTATTCCACATCTTGGACTTCAAAGCTTCAAAACAAAAAATCTCTGTGGACCTGAGACACCAAACTACGGTCCTTTGTCAGGGCAGCCCTATGAAAATAATGGAGGTACATTCACTCTGCCCACATCTTCAGACCACAGCTGCCTCCCAAGCCCAACCACAAAAATGCTCTTCACAGGCACAACCACTGCCTGCCGTCATTTCCTGTCCAGTTGTCTGGGCTCACCCCCCCAACATCTGGGAATTAGTGGGATAAGAACAGAATTGTCAAGAGGTCAGCTTCTCTGCAATTGGCCACTGAGCCTCCACCCAGATTCCACCCCTAACCTGAATGTTCCTGGAGGCCAAATGCTACCCTCAGGATCTTCATTTCCCACTCCATCCATGAAGTTTGGATAAGAAAGGCTGTCCCCTTTCATCTCAGTGTAGAACATGCCTCAGGAAGCATAAGGAAGACTCCCCACCTACCTACCACATCTCCTTTTATCCACTGTACACACCTGGCTAAGGGCAGAACAGTTTGAGTCCACACTTGCTTCCTCGAAAGGACTGAGACACAGCCAGGAAAGGGCTTTTGTCAAGATGCTAGGGTGGAGGCCCCATCTCATGGGGCTGAGCAGGGGTGAGAGGACAGCTTCCTTCTCTATCAGACACAGTGCCCTTATCAGAGGTCCATTTTAGCTAAGGTTTTAGCCCATCTGCCTGGAACGGATATTATACAACTGACTGAGTCAGGCTCCAGAATATCCAAGACTATGCCTCTGCCTCCATGATAGGAGGAAGCCCCTGACTCTGACTGTGACAAACCCCTCATAGGTATCTCCCTGGTGGGTACCAGGCACTGCTGGACACAGGAAGGCTGGGATGACTCAGGGTACAGAAGTCACTGAGTCTGCGGAGCCAGCTGGTGAGGGCTGTGGGGATAGACACAGGGACTCCTGCAGCAGGCAGGCAGGCATTTGTGCCTTCCCATATATGGGCAGACAGCAACCCTCACACTGGACCTCACGCTACCTCAAGCCCCAGGAACTGTGTGGAATGCTCTGGTCATGGGTGAGCAGTGCCATGGATACAGGATACCAAGGTACTTGCTCATCTCTTTGCTGTGCCATCCCTTCCACGGAAACACTTTCTCTGATCTGCCCTACTCCCCTCACCCCATCTCCAAGCCTCCCAACTGTGGCTCTTTCTCACCCCTCAGCCCTGTGCAGAGAAGCGTCTTTGTGCCTATGTTTTTCACAGAACATTTTAGGAGTATGTGACAGGAGGGCTGGGCCTCAGTCCCATGCATCTCCTCTGCAGTGAACACCTGAGCCAGTGAGCAGAGGTCCAGATACAAGAGACCCCACATTCCACATTCCACCCTTCATTCCATGTGGTGCTGGGGACTAAACCAGGCCCTTTGTACAGTTAAGTGGCTACCCATTCCAACTCCTGCCTCCTTTTCTGGAGGCATGGGGTCTCATTAAGACACTAATGAAATTTGCAATCCTCCTGACTCAGCCTCCCAGGATATTACAATGACAGGTAACATCACACCCTATTCATAGTCCATCTCTAGACTGCAATGACTCATCCAGAAATCCAGCTTCCAGGAATTTAACACATAGAAAGCAAAGGGACAAGGGGCAAGGGGCAGAGAGCAGAGAGAAGAGGACAGGGATGCCCAACCAAATGCTTTTTAAAACAGACTTCAGACTCAATAGCTGTCTACTGTGGGTTCCTGACACCTCAGTTATATACACCACTATGAAGTGCTTCCCAGACCTGAAAGGGTGACAGGCCTCCCACACTTTGAAGCAGAAGGTCGTTTAGGTGTATCATTAAGTGGGAAAACATTGAACTTTAATGCAGCTGAACAAAACATTTGAACCACAGAAACAATGAATTATATCTTTGTAGAGGCATCTACCATTCTCCACCCCGCCAAGGCCTCTCAGTGCTCAAGGACAGTGCCTGAAATCAGAGTCAGAAGAACGTGACCCAGGCCTCACTCACAGCTGAGGAGGAGAATGTAGCCTGGTGGGGCCCGGTGTGCAGGTACAGTGACAGCACCAGCTGGTGTGTTCTGTCTGGAGCCTTCACTGCATGGCACACCTTGAGCTTGACTCTGATCAGCAGCTGCACCTATTTGTGATCCTGTGAACATTTCTCAAATGTTTCCTCCAAGATAGAACGGTAAACCAAACTCTTCGACATGGCAGTGGATCCCTCACTGTCTCTCAGCAGAAGCCTTCTGGGAACTCTGGAGAGCTCTGATTTTTATTCATGATGAAGCTCTGTAACTCTCTGGGCTGAATGACTGGACAGTCCACATCCGGGGTTCTGAGGATGGGGATCTGGTGGCCCACGCTGCCCCCTGAAAACTCCAAGAGCATCTGGGCCCCCCAGAAGGTGTCACAGGGGGCTTGGCTATCACAGGGCCACTGTACCTGGAAAATCAAGAGAGACACACACAGAGACTGCTCTGAAGGTGGAGAGACCCAGCCTCTTGCCTGCCCACATGGACCCACATCCTAGCCTTTGGGGAACAGCACCCCATGAAATTCCACCCCAGCTCCCAAGCAAGAAGTTATCTCTGCCTCTATTCACTGTCTGAGCCCTCCCTAGTATGAGTGAGTGGTGGAAAAATGGGAAATACATAGCCAAGTGTGGTGACACATAGTGGAACTCTGCCTCAAATTTTAAAAAAATTAAAAGGGCTAGAGATACAGCTCAGTATGAAGCCCCTGGGTTTAAACTTCAGTACAGAAGAAAGAAGGAAAGAAGAGGGGAGGGGAGGGGAGGCAAGGGAAAGGTGACAAGGCGGCAGCAGCAGCAGCACACAACACTGGCAGGAAGCCTTACCTGGTGGGAAGACACAGGCTGGCTCAACTCCTCTGTGGACGCAGGGCCTGGGTAGGCAGGTAGGGCCAACATCAACTCTGGGGAGCTAGAAATGGAGCAGTGTCAGGATAGGCTCTACCTTGAGGGGACCCTAGATGACAAGATTCCCTGTCATGTATCTACACATCCAGAGCTAGTCTAGGCACTCTGCAGGACCCACACAAGTGGGTCAGTTAGGTGGAGATGTATTCCACAGCAAGCAGGGTCCCTCAAGTCACAAAGAGTTAGCAAAGAGGTGGCATTAGAGCAAGCACTCAGAGATGCAGCTGGGGAGCACAGTTGTGAAGAGAAGATGGCATGAGGGACACTCAAGCCAACAGAACCAAGGGAGGGGGAACAGTAGGGAGGAGCAAACTGGAGACAGACACAGACACTTAAGACCATATCAATACGCAATGAATGACCCAGCATACCCCAGGGGAAACAAAAGTGTGCAGACCACATACATGCATTAATTCACAGCAGCTTCTCCATAATCATCTCAAACCACCCACATTGAGTGCCATTGCAGGACAGGGGACAGGCAAATTCTCATCCACCCATACCATGAGCTGGGGCTCTGCAATAAAAGGATGAACTTCTAATTCACCCAACAACACAGATGAATCTGAAAGTAGGTGGGGAGAAATAAGCCAAAGCAAAACACATAACAATCCTGAGCAGTTTCATCACAACTAGAGCATACACTGACTCTAGCATACACAACAGCAGGACCCTGATCCTGGTGGTGAGTGTGGGAATAAAAAGGTACACTCACTGCCTTCACAAGGCTGAGACATTTTGGTGGGGGTAAAGTCACACTGAGTAATTTGTTAATAAACATGCGGTCACTGGGTGCTAATTACACCCCAATAAAGCTGTGTAAAGGACTCAGCATCCTTGGAAGAGGGCAAGGCCAGGCAGGACAGTGGAGTGGAAGAGAGGAGATGGAGTGGTCAACAAGCCACGAAGGGACATAGGGTCACTTGGGGCCCTTGGCCTCCTCTTCTCAGAGGTCCCCAGACCACTCATCTCTGTCTCTGGAGTTCCCCACCAGAGACACTGGTCATCTCTTCTGTGTCTCTGAAAGTCCATAGCTTTCCTATCATTATAGGTAAATGTTCACCTAGACTGTTGCAGACCCTCCTAAGCTCCCTTCACAACTACAAAGTGGAACGCAAAATCAGGATCCTGATGCTGCTCAGAAAATCCCAGCCTCTGTTTTCAGAAAAATCATGAGGAAGAGGCTGCTGGGGCCCAGGATCTCAGGCTAGGACAATGCAAGAAAGGACAGGGTGTCTCAGTCCCAGGAAATCCATGCTCCAGTTCTGGAAGGTACAGGCTTGAGGGACTGATACCATTTCTAGGAACCCATCAAGGAAAGCCTCGACCACAGTCTGAGATTAAATCTACAATGAGTCCCACCCCACCTGCTGGCCCTAAGAAGGTGTCATGCAAGTCCCTGTCCCTGAGGCTTACCTGTGGGCAGAAGCATTCAGCCAGGGCTGTGTCATCAAGGTGCTGTCAGTCTCTACTTTCCCACTACCTGGACATGGACCCTCTTCCAGGTACCTGCTCTGGGGACCACTGTGCACATCAGTTAATCCTATAGGCAAAGACAACATACAGCCCACTGGTGAAGGAAGGAACACGGCCCATAGTGGCACCACCTCAGCCTCAAGGAGGCAGGTGACCTTCCCAGCCTTAACCTCCAGGCTCATAAGCTCCGAGAATCCAAGGACAGTTCTGCTAATCTCAAACTGCACTCTGCCACCTTGGCCTTGCTGTCCAGAAGCTGAGTTGGGATCTGCTGCTTACAGGCTCCCACCTGCTGGCCCCACTCAGTGCCATTTTGCTGCACTGAGCTCCTGAGGCTGGGGCACAGGACACTTGGCCACTAGCCTGCTGAAGTTTCTATTTTTTTTACTTCTTACCACAAGCGTCACCAAGACTCCATGAGGAGTCAGCTGTCACTGCCTCCACAGCTTTTGCATTTCTCTCTTCTAAAATGCATCAGAAAATATCTCAGAACATCTTTCAGTCTTAAAGATAAACTACTTGGTGCACACCTATATCACCAGTTACTGAGGAGGCTGAGGCAATAAGATTGCAAGTTCAAGCCCCTCCTGAACAACTTCGCAAGTCCTTATCTCAAAATAAATAAATAAATAAATAAATAAATAAATAAATAACAGAAAGGGCTAGAAAGTAGCTCAGTGCAAAGGGCCTATGCTCAATCGCCAGTACCACCAAGTAAAACAACTTAAGCTACTATGAATTTGGTATATGTGCAAGAGAGGAAAAGCCTGAGGTGGTGTGTTGCTTTCAGCCCTGTATTTGTGCAGTGGCATGACCTCTGATGCAGAAGCACAGGCCTTGAATGAGATGCATGCTGGCCTCCCTCCCATGCTGCTAGTCCCTGTCTAACCACCAGGTGTAGCTTCCTCTGCTGCTACTGTCTCCTCATTCATACAGAACCTGATGGACGTGTGACAGAGGAAGCAATATCCCAGTGTCAACATGGGCATCCCAGGTCACACAGAGCAGTGGTGGCTCACATCTTCTACCTCTGAGAGAAATAGAAGTGAAAAGCCACATCCCCAGCATCTACAGTTCCAGAGTGAGGAAGCAAGGGCAGGTCCAGGACCACAGGGCACCTGACAGGAAGTAGTATGACAACTGTCCAGAGCTTAAAGAAGACCATGTTCTTTAAATCAAGACTTAGCAGTAAGGTGGACTTAAAAGATCCATACCTAGGCCCATCAGTGAAATTTCTGAACATCAACATGATAAAGAATCTACAATTTCCCAGGAAAGAAGGCCAGGTTACCTGGAAAGGAATGAACATCTGTAACAAATGCTGAATGCTGCAGTGCATGACAGCACGTCCAAATCTCTGAAGGAAAAGTATTTTCAATGCTGAATTATTAATCAAATGTGGGAACAGATTAAAGGAACTTTTGGAATATGCAAGAACTCAAAAGTTTTTCTCTTGTCTTGCAACACTAACTGAAAATATTCTTTAGCAAAACAAGGAAGCCAAGGATGAAAGAACAAGATGCAGTCCAGGAAGCACAGGAGCCAATCACAAGCAGTGAGAGACCTCAGGGTGACAGCTCCTCCCCACGCCCAGGAACAGGGAAGGGAGCCTGGCAGCAAGTGTCCTAATGGGACACTTGAATGCTGGGAGGTGATGGATGTGACAAAAGTAGGTGAGGTAAGAAAAATAAAGGCAAAGAGAAACTCCAAGGAAAAAAGGTGCAGAGAAAAAGATGTGTATACCCAAGGGGACAACAAATGCAGGTGAACCATTGCACCTTGTAAGAGATTCTATAGTGTCAGACAACAAATGCATATTTAAGTACATGTTTTAAAGGCACCAACAACCACAGCTGTAACAATGACTAAGAAAGAAAAAGGATTTCTGCCCTAGGCTAAGGGCACAACACTTGTCCCTCCTCTGGGAACAGGTGTCCCCTGAGAGGGGGTGACAACAGAGGGGTACAGGGACCAGTTGTTTCCTCCTATTTAAACTCTTCCTTTGCATTTTAGGCTGTCTTTTCCAGCTCTTTTCAAAATAAAATATGTGATAATTTGTTTGTAGGATGTTTGTAGGAAGTCTCTGTCCCAAGTCTTATCAAACACTACAAATTTAGGCAGAATGCCCAGCCCACTTCCACTTGTACCCTCACATGATACCTGAAGGCCACAGCATCCCGATGCAGTCTCCTATCTGTGCACCATACCTACCTTCAGGGTGCTGGTCACTGAGGATGGCTGTGGACACGGCTACAGTGGAATCTGCAGGCTGCATCCTGGAAGTCAGCCCATGACCTTGGACCGGTGGCCTGGTCTGGAAGCAAACTCCTTTGGAGGATTCCAGCGCAAAGGACATCAGCCACGATTCAGGGGCTGTCAGAGAAGGGTCCAGCATGTTGTTAACAGCAGCCAGAGGACAGAGGCCAGGGCCAGGGCAGACAGAAGCCAGGGCAGCAGAACCATGGCTGGGCCCCTCCTGATACATCTCACCTCCTTGAAGAGACCTGGGAGACATAGTGGACCACATCTCTGAGCAAACAGAGGCTCCCTTGGGTCAGCACAGAGTCCTGAAGGATCTGGCTGACCTGCCACAGAAGGCTGTGGCACCCGGCATATCAGTCACACTGCCTAAACCCACTGAGCCCCTATAGCTGCAGGACTGAATCTAGAGACAACTAGAAAGATCATTGCTCTATCCCTACAATGTACCAACAGGTGACTAATAACAATGATGATGATGGGTAATGTTAGGGAGCAGAAGACAAAAACCGATAATGCTATGTGTCAGGGCTGCTCCCAGGCTTCCGTTAAACATCCCTTGAACCTGGCTGCACCCCCACAATATGTCCTGTCATCATGTTCCTCTCACAGGTGAAAGATCAAGGGAAGCCTGCCTGTTATCACACAGCTGGGTGGTGCCAGAACCAGGTAGTGTCACAAGCCCGATGCCAGAACAGTACACGGAAAAGAAAAAAGACAAAAGGAACAATGGCCAGATGGGCCCACCCGCAAGCTGAAAGTGTTGGGCTGTCTCTTCCCTCCCTAGCCTCACACCAGCCTCAAGGCAGGTGAATGAAATGCAGAAAGAGCTCAGACGGTGATAGCATGTAGTAGGGACTCCAGGATGCCAGCGACTGTTAACTCCAGGATACATTAAACTGAGGAGATTCCAGACATAAACAGTAGCTCCGTCTTTTTTAGGTGGACTCTAGGTGGCGACCTAGCCTGTATGTTTCCTCCTGTCCCTGTGCATTCTCCTAAACACAGGAAGTCAGCTCGAGATTCCCTGTATGCTGGGCACCTTGCTGGTGGTTTCACCACTCCTAGGGTCACCTAAGTCACTGACCTGGTCCCAGGGTCAGTCAGACCCATTAAATGCCCTGGTCTCTACCTAAGGAAGGAGGAAATTGAACAGGTGAGATGCACTCACAACAGTACCTGCCCACCAGTAGCTTTGAGGTTATGTTCGCCTCAGGGAAGTCCAGGCCTGTGGTCCTTGGCCCCCATAGTCCTGTGGTAGCCCCTGGGGATTGTGGAGGCTCACTTTCCTCACAGCCTGCCAGAAGAAGATCAAAGGAAAGAAAGCTTAGTGAGGTGGCAAATCTTCAGCTCCTGCCTGAGAATGGCTCCCTGGCTTGGAAGAGGGGCCACTGGTTACCCCTTTATTCTGTCACCCTTAGTCTGACACTGATCTGAACCCACAGTCCACGATTATGGTCCTGGAGTCCGGTTTACTACCAAATCCACTCACTGTTGACACTCCAGCCATGTGATGCTCCTGTATACAGCCTATAACTTAGCATGCAGTGGCAGCCCTTGTCCCATGGGGAATCCTGAACCAAGCCAAGCAACCTAGAAATCAGCTCTCACCACATAAGGTTGGGTCCTTGCCACTCACCAGACCGGGGGGGCCTGCTCACAAACTCAGATCCAATGCAAGGATGGCCTGAGGATGACAGAGGCTCAAGACCCCTGTCTTTTTCACTGGTGGCTTCAGGTACCGTCTGCTGGGCTTGCTCTCCTCGCTGGAGAAGGAACCTCTGGCGCCGTCGGTGGTTGGCAAACCAGTTGTACACTTGCCCAGTGGTCAAGCCTGTCTCCAAAGCCAGATTCTCCTGACCCAAAACAAGAAGACTTCCAGCTGTGAGTCACAGCTGAAGTCTACCAGCCTAGGCCCTCCCAGGACAGCAATGACCCAGTCAGAGCACTAACATGCTGGGAAAAGGACTGAACCCCACCCAGGCTGGGAAGGCTGGAGAGAACACAGGGACAGAAGACAACATCCTGCCTCAGAGTTAACACTACCTCTGAGCCCCCAGGATCCTAAACCAGGAAAGGCCAGGCTGCAAACACCTGAGCCCCCAGAGGTACAGAGGCCATGGCTTCCCTGACCATAGTCCCTTCCCTTGTCTGACTGACACTAGGTGAAGGACCCCAGCTGAAGCACTGGAATACTGAGAACTAGCCAGGGCAGAGCAGGGTAAGAGCTAAGGAGAAAGAGACTATCATCAGTATGCCCAAGGGGAAGACTGAGGGGGCCGTGATACCTGGAGGGAGGCGAGACTCAGGAAAGGAAAGGAAAAGCCAAGGCTGGCTGCCTGGGGCAGGGAAGGCCCCCAAGGTGGGCTCTGGCCCTTCTCACCCGGTCAGCCTTGCTGGGGTTGCTGTTCACAGCTGAGACAAAGTCCCACAGCCGCTGGCGAACCTCCCTGGGGAAGTTCCGGCTCTTGGGGCCTTCAGGACTGAGGGCAGGGGGTGGTGGGTTCCTGGAGGACATGAGGCAGAAGTTTTAGCACAGGACTTCCATCTGCTTCCTGCTCAAGGCCTGGCCCCTCAGAAAGCAGAGAGACTCTGTCTCTCTACTGGGATTTCTCATGTGGATGCCCCTCCATATCTCCTACTTTCCAGATCCTCAGCCTCACTGGTGCTAACTGGGCATCAGGGAGTACAGCTGACAGCCCCACTCTGGGCCTTGCTGCGGTATGGTTTCCCCTCCAGGGCTTCCAGGTCCCCCAACTCTAACCCACATCCAAAACCAATGCCCAGCCTGCTGTTTCTCAGCTTCCCATCCTGATTCAGCCCCACTGTCCCCGGCTCTGAACTGGGACATTGTGCTGATAATGCTTCTCCTTTCCACAACCTCTAGGTATTTGAGTCCCAATCACCTGCTGATACAACACAGAGATAGGGGTTAAACTGCTGATGTCGGGCAGGAGAAAGTTTAGGTTGTTCATAAGATTTTCTATGTTTTTTTTCACCTCTAATTAAAAAAAATCTCTGTTTCATAAAAGGTGACATATACAACATTCACCTGTCTGTGAAGACTCAATATGCAGCTGCCTCAAGTACTTCTTGAATTTTGCACTTCCCAAATGGAGCAAATACCCACTCCCCAGATTCTGCTCCAGCCTGTACACCCTGGGAAAAAAAACATCCCACTCCTGGTGGTTCCCATGCACGGGGTACTCTACAGTCCTATGCCATCCTGCAGCAGGTCCCCCGAATCCTTCCACCCTAAAACCACGACTAAGTCCTGACCCACTCCCCAGAAGCGCCTTCACCTTGTGCCCCGAGGTAGCCAGTGAGGAGCTTCTCCTTGCCATGCCCAACACCCTACTGCCAACTTGGCAGGCAAACCCTGCTACTACCTGCTTCTGGGGCCATATGACCATGTCTATATACGTTAAGGGTCATGGACATGGTGTTCTCCTGTGTCTGCTGGCTGCTCCAGGAAACCAAGGTGCCTTTCATCCCAGAGCTCCACCATCTCTCTGCTGGACATCTGCTCATATGGCAGACACCCTACCAAGGACTTTCCTCCTGACTGAGACAGACCAACAATGACCATCTGGTCTGAAGCAGCCCCTCACTAGCCCCACTCAGCCTCTTCTGAACAAGTTTTTGCTGGACCCTACATAAAGGAACACGTGTTCGTTTTGTCTGCAACGTTTAGTTTCTACCCCAGCACCAACACACTGGAGAAAAAACAACACCATGCTTGCTGGTGCCTGAGTTGCAGCCTCTGCCAAGTGGTGCTCTGGAGGCTAGTGGCAACAAGGAGGAAGAGCATGACATAAAGCATCCCAAAACCAAGGCAAATCCATGGCTGGCCTCCTGAAGCTCAAGCTCACGTTGTCACTCCTGGGTGGGAGCCATGCAAGAAAACCTCTCAGTTCCCAAGAGAAACCCAGGACTGTAGCAACAAGCCCAGTGGCATAGGCACCTGTCCCTGCCAGGCTGGTCAGCGTTCAGAGTACGACTGCAGCCTGTCCTTCCCTGTGTTCCCAGTGGAGAGCAAAGTTCCATAAGCCTAGCATTGGCCAGAATCCTAGCCTCACTTTACCTGTGAAAACCTCAAGTAGATGGCCCTACACTTTTCGTGCTTCAACTTCCTCACTCATGAATGTATTGATGACTAGTGTACCGTCCATTTACTGCTGGTTGTAGTGGCAGTGACTGGCATTACTAGTTACTTAGGCAGGGTGTGGATGCACAAGCCTGTAATCTTAGCACTCAGGAAACAGGAGCACCACCTTGATTTTGAGGTCAGCCTGATTAGAAAGTGAGTTCAAGACCAGCCTGAACTACATAAGGAGACCCTGTCTCAAACCAATGACAACAAAAAGTGATTTAGTGCCTCCTGTGCCAGGTACTCCTCTGAGCACTTTCTAGTGCTTGTGACACACTTATCTTCATTGCTTCTGAGTGTTAGCCACTCCTGAGAGATTTGGTGACCCAGGACCCCTTGTCCAGTGAGGATAGGTGGAGATAGGAGGAGACAGGGACATGAGGATGTCCAGCCTGGGCATCAGCCTCTCAGTGCTCTGTGTGAAGCCACTGGTTCCCAGCCTCCACCTGGCTGAGGTGGCAGGTTGGGTGTACCTCAGTGCACATGGCAAAGGTGTAACAAGCACTGAAGCGTGCCGTCATGTGGTGGCTGACTATGGATGGCACTTCTTGCCTCACCTCTATCTCACCTTTGCCCCTCTGCGTCTGGGACACTACCATTCAACCCTCAGGAACTCCCAGAATCAGCACACACCAGAGTACCTCTTCCTGCAGCGGAATTTCTGCACTGGGGTCAGCGTGGTCACACCTAGCCTCCTCCTATCCAGGTGGTAGTGGATGTCATTCCAGAGCTGCACCAGCTCCTGACTGCCTCCTGGCACATGGCAGCCCTGCAAGGAGAGACTGCTGAGACCTGGCCATCCTTTCCCACCTTAGAGTGCCATGGAAAGCTGTGTCTTCCAACCCAGCAAGGTAAAAGCTCTGCAGAAGGGCAGAGTCTGGGAGAGTTCACTGGTAGATGGAGTGTTAGCATGGTCCAACTGTAGAGACCCCAGCATGTGACCAGGGTAAGCCAGTCATCACCCAGACCAGGACAGCACTACCTATCAGCCATGAACAGATCAGAAGCCCTGAACCCACCTTTGAACCCTCCAAGCCTCCTAAGAAACATCTGAGCACAGTTTTCAGGTACACCTTGTAGGAGAGGAGAACAAGGCATGGAAAAGGCTGGTGGTATGCTTTTGGACACACAGCACAGTGGGCCTTGGTGAGAGCCCCAGGGTTGGCCCAAAGGAGCCAATGTCTGACCTAACCTTAAGTGAACCTACATCTCCCACTCAGCATGCTTCACTCAAACTGTGTCACAGGGAATGAAGGGGTCCCTGTTTTTCCTAGCAGCAGCTCACTCACCCCCTTAGCTAGACCCTTCCACTAAACCAGGATGCTCAGCATTGCCTTCCCTGTGATCTGTGTCCCTCCATTTACCCAACTCTACTTCTGCAGCAACCCTCTGCCCTTATGCCTATACCTACAGATCCTCATTGACCAGGAAGACTCTGAGGAGCATGCAGCCTTCTCTTGCAGCTCTAGCAAGACCCAGTATAGTTGGGCTCTGACTCTTCAGACTCCTGCCATCTCTGGGCCCTGATACAGTCGTCTCCACTGCCCTGTCTCTTTCACTCACTCATTCTGACACCTGAGAACCAAGCCAACTGTGCTCCAGTACATGTGTGGCAGGATCTTTCAGGAGCAGAACCATGGCATCTCTCTCTCAAGGACAAAGGGACACAAGTGACAAGGCCTCTGACTATCCACTGAGGAAAGATCCATGAGGGATGGGGGGCATGGAGGAGCACAAAAGGGTCAAGTCTTCCACAAGTACACAGCTCACCTGTATGTTTCACACCTCTCTGCACCCCACCATGACTACCAGTCCTACCTCTAGAAGCCGGCAGGCCACCTGGGGCTGCCCCTGCTGGACCAGGACGCGGGCACACACCAAGGTCACATCTGCATTGTCCAGGAACCGTGGACGAAGAGGGCTTTCCAGAACAGCAGCCACCAAAGGCTGCACCTGGGCAAGGTCATCCTGGAGGTCCCGGCACAGCCTGCCTGCCAGGGTCACCAGCTCTGAGATGGATGAGTAAGAGCACCTCTGGTCCCGCAGCAGCATTAGAAAACTCTGCATCCTGGTCGTCGGTTCCTCTGCCAACACAGAGCAGTCAGAACCACCCACCCCCACAGCCTTCCCTGTTCATCCTAGACCATTTCCTGGAGGCTGTGACACCTGGCCAGGGCACTCCGAAGAAAGGGAACCGGGAAGGCTGGGATCGCAGGCCTGCAGGCTTCCTGCTAATTCCCCCAATTTCCTTCTTAGGAATGAGGCCAGCTGTGGTTCCCTGGGCCTGGTGCTGTTGCCACTGTCCATCTCCCTGTCTCCTTCTGACCCTTTCACCACCCTCTCTTGCTCCCCTCCAGGCTCCTCTTACTCCTGCAGTGACCTCCGAGGGAAAAGGACCTCAATGTATCCCTGAGACCCCCATGATGGCCAGACACATGGCCGTCCACTAAGGTACCAGGCAGAGAACACTGTGCCAACACCAACTGGACACAGGCACACCTGGGACCACTGGACCTGCTGAGTACTCTGCCATGCATGAAAAGGCTTGGGCATTCCAGCCTCTGCTGAGTACTGAGCTTGCTCCTAGGAGGGAGGCTGTGGGTACCCTCCAGGACCTAGGGTCCTCCCACCTACAGGCCTCCTCTCAGTGGCCTGAAACAGAAGGGGAGGACAAGGCCTATGCGGAGAAGACCCTCCACTGAGTTAGGACTCTGGCTCCTGAGCTGTGCTCTGCCTGCCTCCAGCAGGATGGAGAGCTGCGTGGGGAGGAGGGTCTGGGAGCCTCACTGTGCACCCCGCCCAATCCAGAAGGCACCAACACCCACTAGGGTCACCCACTGCGCCCTCAAAACACCCCCATTCCCCAAATGCCCTGCCCTCTGAAGTGACCCCATGGCCTGCAGTCTCCTCCAAAATCCCAGAGATCTCCCCACCTTCACAGAGACACCCTCCTGCTCCCCACCACACCTGTCCCTGGACAGCGCTCCTGCTCCCTCCTTCCTCTTCCTTCTTCCTCCTCCTTTCCCTTCTCCTCTGTCTCACCTCTTCCCTTTCCTGCCCCTCTCCTCCCCTTTTTCTCCCCTCTCCTTCTCTTCCACCTTCTCTCTTCCTTTGCCCCTTCTCACCTTTCCTGCCTCCACTTCCTTCCCTGGGCCGCAACTCTGCGTGGCTGACTCTAGCGCCCCTTTCTCTACACAGTCTCGCGGGAAAGAGGGAGCCCAGAACCCGGCAGAACCAGGCTGTAGACGCGCAGGTCTCTGTTCTAGGGGACGCCCTTCAGTAACCTAGGACTACCCACGAGGTCACACACTCGGTCACGGGAACAGGTTGTGCGGACCCAAGTAGTCAGAGAGGGCTACACAGGGTGCCCGCGCGGATGCAGCGGGATGTGGAGTGACGGCGACGCTACGACCGGAAGAGCACCCTCCGTGACGTCATGGCGTTGCACGGGCTCCCTTGACGTCATGGCGCCACCACTGCCCTCCCCTGACGTCATGGCGCCGCGTGCTCCCAGCGCCTGAGAAAATCGCCCGGGCGTGGTTCAGGCGGCTGGGTGCAGCCCTGGCTTTAAGTTTGGACGGGGTCAGCCCAGCCGCTCTCAGTGGAGCAGAAGTTGAATGAGAGTTTCAGGTAGTGGACCCACGGCTGCCCACGTAATAGAAATACTTAGCTTTGGTGTTTGCATCACGTATTTCAATTTTTTTTTCTTTTCTGCCGCTCCATACTTTTATAACTTTTGTAAAACCAGTTGTTTTTTTTTTTTTCCTATTTTTAAGTTTCTTTTGTAGGAGCAGAAAGTGAATGCAGGGTGACAGGGTTGAGGGGAAGAGTGTGCAACTGCGCAGTGATGCCCACGTGATGGAGGGGATGGACAGAGACAGGGGTCGACAGTGGCGCCACCTCACTTCCCAGAAGCCCTTCCAGGTGCAGTCACAGATGGGCTGTGGCATGGTCCTCGCTACTGTCCATTGAATGATGAAAATGTTCAGGTACCTGCATAGTTGAATTAACATCGTTGAAGTCAAAAGATTTGTGGTTCTAATTAATTGGTATAATGTCTTACCTTTTTCATTTCTGGGAGTTGAACCCAGGGCCTGAAGCATATTAGTCTACCAGAGCTTCAAAACTAGGACAGTTAACCTTTTATAGCTTTTAAAGGTGAGAGGTCTTTCACTCTGTTGCCCAGGCTGCTCACAGTCACTTAGGCCCAAGTGAGTCTCTTCCCTTGGTCTCCTAAGGAGCCAGGACTACAGGCGCCACGCTGCACCCAGCTTCAAAACTTTTCTTGATTTGAGCACTTCGACATTTAAGTTACAAAAATCGTACATAAGGATAACCCTGAAAAGCTCACTTTTAGTGATAGCTTGGCTTTACAGTACAAGACAGCACTAAAACCTAAGTCACCAGCTTTCATGTAATTAGGCTCCCTTCCCCTTAGTGCACTCCAGTGGAAGTCCAGCCATCAACAGTGAGTTGTGAGGCATTTTCACATCCTAGATTTTCTGTTCCTTCCTGAACTCGACTTTAGGTGGTCTCCCTGGTCGTTTAGTTACTAGCTGTGTGACTTTGGACAAATAAGTTACTGGTCCTATGTGTATCTTCTCTCGGATAAAGTGGGGATTATAGGACTTCTTTCTTCCTGAGATTGAGATAAACTCAAAAAGTGCTGACTTCAAAATTTTTTCTACATTGATTATTCTTAACAGTCAGAATCTGGTAAGTTCTCCTCTTACTACTTTGCTTTTCAGAAATTTCATGGCAATTCTTTCACATTCCACCCTTCATATTTACCTGAACACATTTTCCCACTCTTGGTCCACCAAAGGCTGGGCCTCTTACAGGTCACCCTCCTAGGAACCCCTGCTTCTCTTGAATCCCTGTCACCTGCAGAGAATCACTTTCCTCACTATGGGTTTCCCTGAGGAGTCCCCACCCCATGAAGCCTTCTCTGTATTTCTCCATAGAGTACTTATTGACACTGGAAGACAGCATGGGCTTAACAATTAGGAGAGTTGGTGTCCATAGGAAACATGCCTGACATCCTGGCCAAGGTCAAGGGGAATATAAGAGCTTGAGAAACAAACTCCCCTGTCTTACCTCTTTTGGAAGGGACAAATGTGGATGGGAGTAGAGAACAAAGTAGGATCTTCAATATAAATTGCTCCCTAGAGCTGACCTAGAGGAGATTAGGACAATCTATCCCAGCTGTGACAGCCATGCTAAAAGAGTTGTAATCTGGCCAGGGTTGTAAGTCACCAGCTCTGTGGCTTCTTTTGTTTCCTGTCAGAATCAGAAGTGCCATGGTACAGAAGAAAAGACTTTATTATATTTGACACAAGGGAGAAACCCATGGTGGGGCATGAACTCCAGGCCAACCCAAAGGACAAAGGCATATAGTTTTTATGCTATCTCAAGTAGCAGGGACCTGGATTGTCATAAAAACACAGAGATGGGGTTTTCCCGGCACCTTTGCTCTTCATACGATACCAGGAAAAATAACTCTAGGTTACTTTTTCACTATGCACGCACCTGTCCCTTGCCACCTGGAATTTGCCCCTTATCATCTGGAAAAGTTCCCAATCGAATTTTGGAGAACATTACTCCCTTGCCTCAGTGGGTTTGATCTTCATGATCTTGCTTTTCTTAGCCCTGGCTTTTTGGTATTTCAGCCGATCACACAGTTTTGGGGAGGGGTTTTGTCTTTTTTAAGACAGGCTCTCACTATGCGGTTCAGGCTGGCCTTGAACTCACTTTGTAACCAGGCTGGTCTTGAATTTGCAATGATCTGCCTGCCTTAGTCTCCCAAGTGCTGGGATTGCAGGCACATGCCACCACAACTGGCTTTAAACACAGTCTTTGAAGGGTGAGCTGACTTCCCATTCTCCTGTCTCTACGTGTGCTCCCTTAATCCCAGTCTTCAAAACTGGTCCACTTTTGAACTCTGTTTCCCAATATTACCTGCTACCCAATAAGACGGAGAACCAGCTGACATATTCCACAAGCTCAGCTGTACCTCCAACTTTTTTCCTAGAGTGCCCTGCGCTAGGTTGTGATCCAAGCTTGCTTCACAAAGGGGCCTTGTTCATCACCTAGATTCCAGCCTCACCCACTGGGGTGGAGCAACCCTCCCTGGAGTCTGGATCTATAAGGTCCAGGCCATGTGTCACAGAATACTTTGCTTTTCTCCTAAACTTGATATTGATGTAAATAATATTTGACACAATTTTTTTCAGTGCTTGCCAAGAACTCTACCACTGAGTTACATTTGCTTGATGACAGGGTCTAACTTGCCCAGGCTGATTTCCAACTTATGCTCCAGCTGCTTCAAACTCCCAGAGTGCTGGAATTATGGTACCTCACCCAAAGTGGTATTTTTAAACATTAAAACATATGCCAAAGAATCCATGATCAACAAAATATCAAAATTCTAAATAAAGACAGGATTTCTGTTACTGATTTTTCCTTCTACTGAAAGCTCTTCACTAACTCCAGTCTTCTCTTCTCTTCTGGCTGTCAGAGGTACCAGGTAAGGGACGGACTCAGAGCACAAGTGTTACTGGATGTATGTGCCAAAATATCACCTGATACTCATCATGATGCTGTGACATTGTGATGGTTGTTTTCCTGATACCATCATCCCTTACTGGCCACATCCACTGAAGAGAGGTCAGGTAATAGTCTAGACACAGCACTATAGAGGGTCGTGTGAGCCCATCTATCTACAAGGTGTGTGTGTTTTCCAACATGGCACACTGTTTCTGGGATATAGGCTTCTTCCATGCAGTGTGCCTCTTGGAGCAGAAAGCTTGGGTAGTCTGCTGAGTTCTCACAGTACCTAACAGCACACTAAAATGTGGTAAAGGAGGGAAGTATTGATGTGGCCCACATTTTTTCATCACTGCACTTTCTGATGCTTCTTTCTGATGCTACTTAGTGTACACTAGGCACCTGCTTTTGAGGACTCCTCTTAAAACAGAGTTAGAGGAAAAACAGATTTATGTATTTTTATTTATTTATTTTGCCTTTTTTGAGATAGGGTCTCCCTATGCAGTTCAGACTGGCCTTGAGCTCATATTGTAGCCCAGGCTTATCTCAAACTTTCAAGGTCCCGTGGGTAATGAAAAAGAGATGACAGGCATGATACATCTATTTTTTGTTTAGAAGAATGACTAGGTGATCAATAAGATACTTGAGTTAGCTGAATTATAACATGTAAAAAGTTGATTAGAAATTAATACCAAGAAAATCAAAGTGCATTGTGAAAGTTCTAATTAGTGCAGCTAATTACAATGAAAGATTTCCTAATAGTAAATCTTCCAAATAAAATATGTTCTAATTAGAATCAGGTTCGCTACATATAATAGAATTAACACTCCTTTCACCTTAGAAACCAAGGTGGGTTAGAAATAGGCATTCCTTATTTTCATGTACAAGACAACAGGCAGGAGGTCTCGGCCAGAGCTAATACTCAGCAGGGCACACTGAGTGATGGCCCCATTATGAGTATATACATTGTGAAGGTTACTTCTCTTAAAATAATCCTTATGTTCTAGCCAGTGAAGGCAGAATATATTCCAGCCTGTACCAACCCATGAAATGTATACCAATTGCTTTCTAAAACTAAGGAGCTATTCTAATAGCTCCCCAGTGATGAGGAAGCTAGGTCACTCTTACCTGCTGTACATTCTAACAGTCACTTCCATCCTCAAAATGTATTTGAATTCTAAGATGGCTCCCCAATCTCTAGCTATCATACGTGTTACAGATAAGAGGAAAGATTAAGATACCAGGGGGCTTTCCCCAGCTGTTGCTGTCCCCCAGGGATTTTCCTGTTCTACCTCAACATCCTTTTATTTTTGGCAGTCCTGGGAGATTAAAGCCAGGGTCTTCACACTGAGCTACATTTCCAGTCCTTTTAAAAAATTATTTTGAGACAAGGTCTCATTGAGTTTCCTAGACTGGGTTTGGACTCACAATCCACCTGCCTCAGCATTTCCATTTATTATAACTTAGTGGCATGGCCACATTTAGCACAAGGACAGTAGAAAAATATAGTTTTATGAGCACATTGCTAATGCAAATGCAGTGACTCTGTGGGTAATGAAAAAGAGACCCTAAACGCACTACAATTAGGCAGCTAAACCCATTGTTATGATATTTTGTTGCTGGCAAGTGCAGATTAATTTGCTAATTCCATGAATAAATATGGAGGTTTTGTTAAATGTTTTGTTTTTTGGTGCTGGGACTTTGCACATCAGAGACAAGTGCTCTATCACTAGTCTAAAGCCTAGACTGCTCTATTCATAAAAATCTATTCAAAATTTAAAGGAGTATTTCAGCTATCCTTAGTGATTGTACCCTATCCTTAGCAGGAAACCCTGAGTGACGGTTCCATTGTGAGGCTTCCCTTAAAATATCTATATGTTCTATCCAGTGAAGGCAGAACAGATTCTAACCTATACTAACCCATAAAATGTATAACATACTGCTTTCTAT